GTACCCAACAATACTGATAGAATGATAGAATTACCCAACAAGTGTCCTCTCTTGTGTCCGAGGTACCCAACAAGTGTCCTCTTGTTTGCCCGGACAGACAGACGGACGGACGGACGCAAGGGGGTATAACATAATATGCCCGAAATTCTTTCGGGCATATAAAAAGTACAACATAAAAAACAATCATAGCTTCAATTATGTTGAAAATAGTTATAAATAAGAAAAAATCATGGACATACACGGTCTCGATCTTACAACACAAAGGACATTTAGAAATTATAAACCTGCAGTTTACTCTTCTCTGCTGTAACGGTCTGTATAACTATTTCATAGAAATAATTAAATAAAAATCTGGAAACAAAGTGATCCCTCGGAGGCATTAATCCCAACAAAATTACATAAGAATTGCAGACTCGGTTTGATTGAGTCTGTACATGAGAGATAATGAATAAGTGCAACATCCCTCATGCCCCCTAGCACCGGCTTGAGCAGTACTCAATTCTCAACACTTAATGGTGCTGGCATCAATGATCCCGAAGGACCAGAAAATATAACAACACTGAAGTGAAGTACGGGGCAACTTTTTACAGCTGCCACACAGCACTTGACACCTGCTGTTGTGAAGAATAAAATTCTGGAAACAAAGTGATCCCTCGGAGGCATTAATCCCAACAAAATTACATAAGAATTGCAGACTCGGTTTGATTGAGTCTGTACATGAGAGATAATGAATAAGTGCAACATCCCTCACGCCCCCTAGCACCGGCTTGAGCGGTACTCAATTCTCAACACTTAGTGGTGCTGGCATCAATGATCCCGAAGGACCAGAAAATATAACAACACTGAAGTGAAGTACGGGGCAACTTTTTACAGCTGCCACACAGCACTTGACACCTGCTGTTGTGAAGTATAAAATTCTGGAAACAAAGTGATCCCTCGGAGGCATTAATCCCAACAAAATTACATAAGAATTGCAGACTCGGTTTGATTGAGTCTGTACATGAGAGATAATGAATAAGTGCAACATCCCTCACGCCCCCTAGCACCGGCTTGAGCGGTACTCAATTCTCAACACTAAATGGTGCTGGCATCAATGATCCCGAAAAAAAAAACATATCTTACAGCGTACATTTCATGAAATTTACTGAAAATTTATCGAAAATTAATATATTGTGTGCATTGGCCATATAATCAGTATACAATTGACAGGTTAATAAAATCACACAATACAATAAGCAGTTGTAACAAATTCTTCAGTTGAAGATATAAGATTGCCATTCAAGTTAAAATATGTTCTTTTATGGGTAGAATAGTAATTGTAAGTTCAACTCCTAGTAAGCAATAATACAAGTACTGTACCAAGCCTTTTCCTAGCCATTTTAGGAAAAAAAGTACCTTGCCCAGATAAGGAAATTTTCGGTGTAAAATTGCTTAAATCAAAAAAAAACATTTGGTACCTTTTGAATTCTTCTTCATGCTCTTTTGGCATAGAATTTTGAATAGTGCAAAATTTTTAATTTCCAAATAATGCAAATATCATTCAAAGCATAAAAAATACATCACAAGAGGGCCATGATGGCCCTGAGTCATTCACCAGAAACAACCGCTTTTCAGTAAAAGTTAAAAGACTACCTAAGAATGGTACGGACAAAATAGAGAAAATAAGAATCCCTAAAGAAAGCCCAATATGGCAAAATTGAAAATGTTGCAGGCTCGGTTTAATTGAGTGTGTTAATGGACGGTACTGTCAAGTACAGTCTACCGTCCACGCCCCCTAGCACTGGCTAGTTTGGTGATCATCAATCAATTAGCTCTGTAGAAGCAGACCTTTAAAGGTATTTCTATTTTTAGCTTTAGCAGCCCCTAAAAGGGGCCAATCCAATTAATATGAGCAAACTTGATAAAAGTCTACCCAAGAATGCTGTGACAGACAAAGTTTGGTGATCATCCATCAATTAGTTCTGTAGAAGATGTCTAAAGGTTTTTCTATTTTTAGCTCTAGAGACCCCTAAAAGGGGCTCATCAAATTAAAATGAGCAAATTTGATACAAGACTACCTTAGAATGCTACAGACAAATTTTGGTGATCATCCATCATTTGATTTAGTATTAGAAGATGTTTAAAGGTTTTTTCTATTTTTAGCTCTGTTGACCCCTAAAAGGGGCCAATTGAATTGGCATGAGCAAATTTAAGTGTGACTGTCACAAGGATGCTACCGATCAAATTTGAGGTAAATCTGCAGTTTCAGAGGAGAAGACGATTGGTGACGCATGAAGACGGACAACGGAGTATCCCCTTGATACCAATAGTTCACCCTGAACCTTCTGTTCTGGTGAGCTAAAAAGTTAACAATGAAATGTGTGGAAACATCTGTCTGATACTGGAATGTACTCTCCAGCAAATTTGTCAGCTTTGATATTTGGAATTTCAGGGTTTTTTTAAGATTGAAAACTAGAAATGTGTCCATAGGACACGGATGCCCCCACACGCCACTGTTCTGTCAATCTTATGACTCTAGGTCAAATATTTTTTGGACTACATGTGCCACAAAGTGAAAACTAAAAATCAACAAAGGGCCATAATTCTGTTAAATTTGGTCGCAGCAAAAATTCCTTCCTTTACTACCATCTACACATTAAGGTTGTTAATCCCTGTAAGTTTAAGCAAAATCTGCCATCCGGTTTAAGAGGAGTTGCGTTCACAAAATTTCTACATAGTATATAATGAAAAAATCAACAAAGGGCCATAATTCTGTTAAATTTGGTTGCAGCAAAAATTCCTTCCTTTACTACCATCTACACATTAAGGTTGCTCATCCCTGAAAGTTTAAGCAAAATCTGCCATCCGGTTTAAGAGGAGTTGCATTCACAAAATTTCTACATAGTATATAGTGAAAAAATCAACAAAGGGCCATAATTCTGTAAAATTTGGTCGCAGCAAAAATTCCTTCCTTTACTATCATCTTCACCTTAAGGTTCTTCATCCCTGGAAGTTTAAGCAAAATCTGCCATCCGGTTTAAGAGGAGTTGCGTTCACAAAATTTCTATATAGTATATAGTGAAAAATCAACAAAGGGCCATAATTCTGTTAAATTTGGTCGCAGCGAAAATTCCTTCCTTTACTACCATCTACACATTAAGGTTGTTCATCCCTGGAAGTTTAAGCAAAATCTGCCATCTGGTTTAAGAAGAGTTGCATTCACAAAATTTCTACATAGTATATAGTGAAAAAATCAACAAAGGGCCATAAATTCTGTAAAAATTGGTCGCAGCGAAAATTCCTTCCTTTACTACCATCTGATACTGGAATGTACTCCAGCAAATTTGTCAGCTTTGATATTTGGAATTTCAGGGTTTTTTAAGATTGAAAACTAGAAATGTGTCCATAGGACACGGATGCCCCCACACGCCACTGTTCTGTCAATCTTATGACTCTAGGTCAAATATTTTTTGGACTACATGTGCCACAAAGTGAAAACTAAAAATCAACAAAGGGCCATAATTCTGTTAAATTTGGTCGCAGCAAAAATTCCTTCCTTTACTACCATCTACACATTAAGGTTGTTAATCCCTGTAAGTTTAAGCAAAATCTGCCATCCGGTTTAAGAGGAGTTGCGTTCACAAAATTTCTACATAGTATATAATGAAAAAATCAACAAAGGGCCATAATTCTGTTAAATTTGGTTGCAGCAAAAATTCCTTCCTTTACTACCATCTACACATTAAGGTTGCTCATCCCTGAAAGTTTAAGCAAAATCTGCCATCCGGTTTAAGAGGAGTTGCATTCACAAAATTTCTACATAGTATATAGTGAAAAAATCAACAAAGGGCCATAATTCTGTAAAATTTGGTCGCAGCAAAAATTCCTTCCTTTACTATCATCTACACCTTAAGGTTCTTCATCCCTGGAAGTTTAAGCAAAATCTGCCATCCGGTTTAAGAGGAGTTGCGTTCACAAAATTTCTATATAGTATATAGTGAAAAATCAACAAAGGGCCATAATTCTGTTAAATTTGGTCGCAGCGAAAATTCCTTCCTTTACTACCATCTACACATTAAGGTTGTTCATCCCTGTAAGTTTAAGCAAAATCTGCCATCCGGTTTAAGAGGAGTTGCGTTCACAAGATTTCGGGACGTACGGACGGACGGACTGACGGACGGACTGACGGATGGACGGACTGACAGACGGACGGACAAGTGCAACGCTATATGCTCCCACATTGTGGGGGCATAAAAATAAGCATATTTATAATTGGGAATGGTTCTGGTAATCTGATTCATAGTGACACTGGGAAAAGGCATGTACATGACTTTCTAAGATAAATATCAGAGCATTTATTATAATCATCTCAAATTATATAAACAGAAATAAGTATAAATTAAGTGTTCGTTTTCTGAAAATTGACATTGGATTGCTTCTTTTATCATTCATGGAAACTGTTCTGCTTTCTAGCATGACTGTAAGTGGTTACATAACCTTGCCACTGCTGTCTCTTCAACTCCTCCAATAATTTTAAATCATTTTAATTAAAAAAGCTTATTTCTAACTTAAAGTTTTGGCAGTTTTTTTCAGATGCCTGCTATTACATAATATAATTCACAACAGAAGATCCTAGACCATCTGCCAATTATGCCACATGACATTTGCATTCAAGCTCAAACATAGAGGATATTGAATGGGTGTAAATTTAACACTAAATTTATTGAGTTGAATAAAATCATTTTATGCAAGCCTCTGGATATGTTTGTATATATCTCAAATGACTTCACATCAAAGTTTTATAACACTAATGTTATATTGTTTTTATTAAATGGCTTTATTACACTCATGCCCCTTGGTTTATGTGATAAAACACAATAATGTTATAAAAATCAGTTATTTATTCAGCATATCAAGCTATTCATATCAGATGGAAAAAATCTTTGCTTAAATGACATCAGTTTAGATTCTCTATGATAATGAAAATATAATAAACTGATCTGATCTGAAATGAAACTTACCGTTCTTCCATTAGTTTGAATAGTCACATCGGTGCTATCTGGTAGGAACGAAAGTACAAAGTCTGCATTAAATGGGCCGTAATTGTTATCGCAAGAATTTTTCAGACGTGTTGTCATTCTGTCTAGGATTGAGGGTGCACCAGCTGACAATGTAGTTTTATAGCCGGTTATACATGATTGTGGAATGCTGGTAATTGAAGTGCTTTCTGGTACATATTCATACCTCATTTTCCCAATGAACTGTTTATTTGTAGTATCATCATCTGTATAAAAAAATAACAATGATTATGTCCATTGAGCACTCTGAGAAGCATAGCCATCCATAATTACAGATAAACTAAAAATATTTCCATTCCATTTAAAAATTCTAAGTTAAAATTTACATAAATCCTAAGATTATGCCCCTTGTCCAACAACTGCACATTGTCATGATAAGCAAATTTCATGTTGATACCTTTAGAAATGTTTGAATAATGTGTCACATTAAAGTTTTTGCACGACCACAAAAACGGTGGTGGTGGTGTTGTTAGTTACCCTCCCGATCACCACAGGGAGCCACTCTGAATTTACCAGAGCACAGTTCAGCCCTCGCATTGTTCCTGGGTAAGTTGTCAAGCCTTTTACCAGTGTTTGTTGCCTTCACTTTCGTAAGAAACTGATAACTTCTGTCCATACCAGAGCAGAGGTACAGTGCCAATGACTATAGAAAGGATTTCATGAACAATCACGATAAAGATTTCAGGATCAATCACTACTCAAGTGACCTGGGACATCCAGGAATTGAACCCGGGGCAACCAATTCACATTCCAATGCTCTATCTAATGAGCTAATCAAACGGCTTCCACAAAGACGATGCCACAGCAATCATAATAGCTTAACTTTTTCTTGAAACAGGCACAAGCTAGAAATGAAAGCATGTAGGTAAATTTTTAATTCTCTACAAGTTTTGTAGTAAGTTGTATCTTTATTTATCAATTTATATATGCAAACTTACCACGTGCACAATCAGGTATGTAAGTGCCAAATTCTCCGCCATTTGTACAGGATGATGTGATGGTATTTTGTGTTGTCGAGTAGAAGGAATAGTGAGGATTACAGGAGAGCTCGCATGACCATCCATTAAATGTTTCAGTGCAATCTTTAGCTCCATTAGCTGGTGTAGGTAACGCCAGTGGTGAGCATTCCTCAGCTTTAAAAACAGTATGAGAAAAAATATACATGAATATCCAATTACAGAACAATTAACAAGAATATATGTAAGCAAAGATCAACAAGATTGCAGAACCCCCCCCCCCCCCCATCAAACCCCCCCCCCCCTCTAAGACAAGATCCAGTCTCACAGGATCACCATAAAAAGTTCTCTCTATATTTTTGTACAGTCAAATCAGAAATGAAATAAAGTCTGGTATATCACACTTAAAATTGGATTATATTGTATAATTAGCTACGATAAGATGTTTCACACTGAATATTTAAAACACCATAAAGCATTTAGTATAGCATTACTAAAACAAGAGGGCCATGATGGCCCTGAGGTCGCTCACCTGTATATAGGCCGCCCCAACCCCCAGGGCTTTTATTTGCACAAACTTGGTAGACAACCATAAGAAAATGTTTCATGCTAAACATCTAAGCTCTAGCTCATTGGGCTATTTAAAAGAAGATTTTTTTAAAGTTTTTACTATACACATATAGTTAAAAACAATGACACGCCTGGGGCCGGGCCAGTTATGACCCCAGGGTTTTTATTTGAACAAACTTTGTAGACACTTACTAGAATATGTTTCATGCTTAATATCTAAACTCTAGCTATTTGGGTTTTTTCAAAGAAGATTTTAAGTTTTTGCTATACACATTTAAGGAAAATCAATGACCCCGGGGCAGGGCCAATTTTGACCCCAGGTCTTTTATTTGAACAAACTTTGTAGACACTCACTAAAAGATGTTTCATGCTTAATATCTTAACTCTAGCTATTTGGGTTTTTTCAAAAAGATTTTTAAGTTTTTGCTATACACATATAAGGAAAATCAATGACCCCCGGGGCGGGGCCAATTTTGACCCCAGGGCTTTTATTTGAACAAACTTGGTAGACACCTATTAGAACATGTTTGATGCTAAATATCTTAACCATAGCTCTTTGAGTTCTTTAAAAGAAGATTTTTAAGTTTTTACTATATGCATATATAGGGAAAAATCAATGACCCCCCCGGGCGGGGTCAATTTTGACCCAAGGGCTTTTATTTGAACAAACTTGGTAGACACTTATTAGAACATGTTTCATGTTAAATATCTTAGCGCTAACTCTTTTGGTTCTTTAAAAGAAGATTTTTTAAGTTTTTACTATATGCATATAGGGAAAATCAATGACCCCCTGGGGCGGGGCCAATTTTGACCCCAGGGCTTTTCTTTGAACAAACTTGATAGACACCTATTAGAACATGTTTGATGCTCAATATCTTAGCCATAGCTCTTTGAGTTCTTTAAAAGAAGATTTTTTAAGTTTTCACTATATGCATATAGGGAAAATCAATGACCCCCCGGGGCGGGGCCAATTTTGACCCCAGGGCTTTTCTTTGAACAAACTTGATAGACACCTATTAGAACATGTTTGATGCTCAATATCTTAGCCATAGCTCTTTGAGTTCTTTAAAAGAAGATTTTTTAAGTTTTCACTATATGCATATAGGGAAAATCAATGACCCCCCCCGGGCGGGGCCAATTTTGACCCCAGGGCTTTTATTTGAACAAACTTGGTAGACACTCACTAGAAGATGTTTCATGCCAAATATCTAAGCTCTAGCTCTTATGGTTTTTTAAAAGAAGATATTTAAAGTTTTTTCTTTCGGTTGCCATGGCAACCAGAGTTCTGCATGGAATTAAATTCTTTGAACAATTTTTAAAGGTGACCACCAAAGGAACATTCCTGTGAAGTTTGGATGAAATTGGCCTTGTGGTTTATGAGGAGATGTCATTTAAAGTAAAAGTTTACGGACGACGGACGACGGACGACGGACGGACGACGGACGCCGGACGAAAAGCGATCACAAAAGCTCACCCTGTCACTTTGTGACAGGTGAGCTAAAAATGTTTAAAATTTAACTATTCAATTTGTATGTAAATGACAACAAGATTAGAGTGCTTAATTACGGTCTACTGATTTAAGTTATTTATGTTAAACTGGTGATAGAAAACACCCACCGTTATCACAGTGCATTACTTTAGACCCCCAGCCCCCTGCCTTGCCAACATTCCTCAAACAAAAGTCCTTGAAATAACTAACTTACAGCTCAGTGCATGACAGAATTTGGACTTCAAAGTATTTTCTGGGTCCAATAAAAGCAGTGGTTATCGGAAACAATTACATGTCGCAAGAATATTAAAGAAATAATAAATAACTTTCATATAATTTTTTCAAATGTTTCATGGAGCATGAATTTGTAAAAAAAGACTAAATAAATAAATTCTGACAAAGTGTCTGTTTACCTATAATTGCCACTTGAAATGAACACACTGAAGGATTTCCTGCCTTGTCAGTAACTGTAAGGGATATTTGCCTCACTGTATTTAGTGCATTAAAGTTAACATCAATGAAGGCAGGTTGATATGATCTGCTAGCAATACCATTGAGGTCAGTTGCAGTTCCAGCATATCTAGCATTATTAGCAAAATCAATCCTCCTTTCATCATCTCCTGTTGTAATTCTTTCATTTGCAGAAGTTGGGCAAGCCAGAGTTGGTCCAGCATTATCTAAAAGTAGAGCAATGTTCATTTACACATTGCATTGTGACTTTATGCAGGGATAGTGTAACTTATCACCACTAAATGCTGTTGATGGTATAAAGTACAACCACAAATGCTGCTAATGGCATAAATTAAAACCACTTAATGCTAGTGATGGTATAACTTAAAACCATTAAATTCTGCTGATGGTATAACTTAAAAACCACTTAATGCTAGTGATGGTATAACTTAAAACCACTTCATGCTAGTGATGGTATAACCTAAAACCACTAAATGCTGCTGATGGCACAACTAAAAAACACTAAATTATGGTGATGTTATGGTTTAAAACCACTAAATGCTAACCAGCACTGAATGACGCTGGTGGTATTACTTTAAACCAGTAACAGCCAGTGTGGCATAACTTTTCACCTTAATATGCTAGAGATGGTATAACTTAAACCCACTAATTTACAACCATCATATGCTGGGAATGGCTACCACTTTGATGTGTTAGTGATGGTATGAATTGCCAGAACTTCATGCTTGTGATGACATAACTTACCACCACTGAATGCTGGTGATTCTTTATCTGACTACTACTGAAGACTAGTGATGGTATGTCTAACCCCTTATGAAAGCTAGAGATTAGATGACATACAACAAATGAAGGCTACAGGTGATATGGCTTACCATCACTAAATGCTACTGTTGGTATGTATTACCACTTAAGGCCAGTGATAATATGACTGACCATCAATGAAGGCTAGTGATGATATGACTTACCATCAATGAAGGCTAGTGTTTGTATGACTTACCACAAATGAAGGCTAGTGATTGTATAACTTACCACAAATGAAGGCCAGTGATGGTATGATTTACCACTAACGAAGGCTAATGATATGACCAACAATAATTGAAGGCTAGTGATGATATGACTTACAACTTATGAAGGCTAGTGATGATATGACTTACCAATAATGAAAGCTAGTCATGATGGTTTAACACTAATGAAGGCTAGTGATGATATGACTTAACACTAATGAAGGCTAGTGACGATATGACTTACCACTAATGAAGGCTTGTGATGATGACTTACCACTAATAAGGGTAGTGATGATATGACTTACCACTTATGAAGGCTAGTGATGATATGACTTATCACTTATGAAGGCTAGTGATGATATGATTGATCACTTATGAAGGCTAGTGATGATAAGACTTATCACTTATGAAAGTTAGTGATGATATAACTAACCACTAATGATTATAATTATGTCTTAATTTCAATGAAGGCTAGAGATGATTTGATTTACAACAATAAAGGCAAGATCTGATATGACTTATGTGGGAAAGTGATGATATGACTAACCACTAATGAAGGCTAGTGATGATATGACTTATCACATATGAAGGCTAGTAATGATATGACTTAACACTAATGAAGGCTAGTAATGGTATGATTAACCATTAATGAAGGCCAGTGATAGTATGACTTACCAGTAGTGAAGGCTAGTGATGATATTACTTACCACTAATGAAGGCTAGAAATGATATGATTTAACACTAATGAAGATTAGCGATGATGACTTACCACTAATGAAGGCTAGTGATAGTAATGATATGACTTACCACTATTGAAGGCATGTGAGGATATGACTTACCACTAATGAAGGCTAGTGATGATATGACTTACCACTAATGCAGGCTAGTGATGATATGACTTACCACTTATGAAGGCTAGTGATAGTATGACTTACCAGAAATGAAGGTTTGTGATAATATGAATTACCACTAACGAAGGCTAGTGATACTTACCAGTAATGAAGGCATGTAAGGATATGACTAACCACTAATGAAAGCTAGTGATGACATGACTTACCACTAATGAATGATAATGAAGTAAGACTTACCAGTAATGAAGGCAAGTGATGATATGACTTACCACTAATGAAGACTAGTAATGATATGACTTTACACAAATGAAGGCTAGTGATGATATGGCTCACCATTAATGAAGGCCAGTGATAGTATGACTTTCCAGTAATGAAGGCTAGTAATGATATATCTTACCACTAATGAAGGCTAGAAATGATATGATTTAACACTAATGAAGAGTAGCGATGATGACTTACCACTAATGAAGGCTAGTGATAGTAAGACTTACCAGTAATGAAGGCATGTGATGATATGACTAACCACTAATGAAGGCAAGTGATGATATGACTTACCACTAACAAAGGCTAGTGATGAGATGACTTACCACTTATGAAAGCTAGTGATAGTATGACTTACCAAAAATGAAGGCTTGTGATAATATGAATTACCACTAATGAAGGCTAGTGATTATATAACTAACCACCAATGAAGGGTAGTGTTGGTATGACTTACCACATATGAAGGCTAGAGATGATATGACATACCATCAATGAAGGCTAGATTTGATATGACTTAACATCAACAAAGGCTAGTGACAGTATTACTTTCCGTCAATGAAGGCTAGTGATTGGACTAAACATTTATTAAACAGCAAATTTACATACTAAGTCCTGATGATCAACTAACTGAAAAAAGACTATAATAAGAACAATTTTTTTCAGACCCTTCTTCTTTAATTAAATGGTCGCCAACCCCGATATCCAGACCACCCTGTTATTCCGTAACACAAGCAGTTAATTCAGTCCCATTTTGAACATCATGTACATTTATTAACCCCTAAATATGACTGCAGGTACATTCTCACATTGATTTTGATGTGCATGTATAAAAATGAAATTCTTTTGACAATGTCATGTAAACAACAGTTGTCCCACAATTGCTATTTATCTATATCTTTTAATTTCACACCTTTAATTTCATGATTATCAGATAAGAATGATAAAATAGTGTAAACAAAACTTTAGGAAAGTATTTTAAATGTTGTTGATGCTATCATCATCTCTTTTGTTCCATATTTTTAAACAAACAGAATTGTGTTGTGATAAGGTTTGTAATAGGTGTTTTTCAAAATTATTTGATTAAATTGAGTTATTCTCATTCCTTGTAAAAAAATGTGATTTGTTATGTAAAAATAAAAAGCAAGTGTATGCATTGTATTTTCGCATTTAAAAGAAACTTTAAAAATAAGCCTAAATAATATTAATATAATATCCTGTTCACGTCTTGCCTGGTTTTCTATCTGACCAAACTCATTAATGAGACCAACCCGCTATAAAGACCAGATCTGTAAAGTCCCTTCAGTGGCCTCATTAGCGAGTTTTTACTGTATTATCTAAAAACGTTTTGAGTTGTATGCAAATCCTTTGTATCTGCAGCCTATGATCGGTAGCATGTTATATTGATCATGTTATAGAATGTTTAAAATGAAAGGATACGGACAATACAGTACAGACACCATACTGTCTAGAAATACAGTAATATCAATACATTTATTGAAAATATGTTACTTCTTGACCATGAACTTACCATCAATACATATTGGAAATATGTCACTATTAGACCATGATTGTCCATCATTGCAGCTCACTGTTGTTGAAGCACCAACATTTCTTAGAATTTTACCAGTGTTACATGTAATTGTAACATCCCAACCAGCAGATCGTGTACTTGTTGCTGCACGTCTTGTACCAGAAACACCTCCATCGATAGGTGCAAGAAGAGACAGCTCAGAGCATACAGGGGCTGTTCAAATAAAAAAGAAAAACTCAGAGCAATCAGGGGCTGTTCAAATAAAAAAGAACAAGAGCACCTCTAGGCTGAGCATTATATGCCCGAAAGTGTTTTTTTTTATAATAAGAATGAAGCATTTTGTAAGACATTACATAAATTAAATAAAGTATTACCTCCTACCAATAGCAATCCTCCTAAAAAGTTTGAATATTGTGGGCCAAATAGAAATTAAGTTATGCTCCGGAAACTGTTTTCAGTTTTAAAGTAATAGTGACCTTGACCTTTGACCTTGTGACCCCTAAATTGATAGGGGTATTCTACCCAATATGGACAATCACCCTATGAAGTTAAAATATTGTGGGCCAAATAGACCTTAAGTTATGCTCCTGAAACTGTTTTCAGTTTAAAAGTAATAGTGACCTTGACCTTTGACCGTGTGACCACAAAATCAATAGGGGTCTTTCACCCAATATGGACAATCATCCTATGAAGTTTGAATGTTGTGGGCCACATGGAATTTAAGTTATGCTCCGGAAACCAAATTGCTAACGGACATACCAACTTTTGATGTTTATGAGGCAAATCAGCTCATAAACACCACCTGGACCAACGTCCATAAGCAAAATAAGCTCATAAAAACAAAAAAATAGCTCTTAATTTGAATTTTATGAGTTTTTGTTCTTTATTTAACTACGGAATGAAGCTCGTAATAATCAAATGTTTGCTCGGACGGACAGACAGATGGAGGGACAGATGGATGGATGGATGGATGGATAGACGGACAGACAGACAGACAGACGGATGCCAGGGGGTATGACATAATATGCCCGAAATTCTTTCGGGCATATAAAAACTCAGAGCATTCAGGGGCTGTTCAATTTAAAAAGAAATCTCAGAGCATTCAGGGACTGTTCAAATAAAAAAGAAAAACTCATGTTCAAACAAAAAAGAACAAGAGCACCGCTAGGCGGAGCATTATATGCCCGAAAGTGTTTTTTTTTTAGTAAGGATGAGGCATTTGTAAAACATGGAATTCACTGTTCATCCGATAAAATTTTTCAGCTGTAGGTTGATTAATACTTAAGTTATTAATAATGACCTTAACCTTTGACCTTGTGACCCCAAAATCAAAAGGGGTCTTCTACCTTATATGGACAATCATCCTAAGAAGTTTGAATATTGTGGGCCAATTGGAACTTTAATTATGCTCTAGAAACTGTTTTCAGTATTAAGGTAAAAGTGACTTTGACCTAATGTGACCCCAAAATCAATAGGGGTCTTCTACCCAATATGGATAATCATCCTATGTAGTTTGAATATTGTGGGCCAAATGGAACTTACGTTATGCTCCGGAAACTGTTTTTGGTTTTAAGGTAATTGTGACCTTGACCTTTGACCTAGTGACCCCAAAATCAATAGGGGTCTTTTGCCCAATATGGACAATCATCCTATGAAGTTTGAATATTGTGGGCCAAATGGAACTTAAGTTATGCTCCAGAAACTGTTTTCAGTATCAAGGTAATAGTGACCTTGACCTTTGACCTTGTGAGCCAAAAATCAATAGGGGTCTTTTACCCAATATGGACAATCATCCTATGAAGCTTGAACATTGTGGGTCGAATGGAACTCAAGTTATGCTCCGGAAACTGTTTTCAGTCTTAAGGTCATAGTGACCTTGACCTTTTGACCCAAAAATCAATAGGGGTCTTCTACCTAATATGGACAATCATCCTATGAAGTTTGAACATTGTGGGTTGAATGGAACTTAAGTTATGCTCCGGAAACTGTTTTCAGTTTTAAGGTCATAGTGACCTTTGACCTTGTGACCCTAAAATCAATAGGGGTCTTCTACCTAATATGGACAATCATCCTATGAAGTTTGAACATTGTGGGTCAATTGGAACTTAAGTTATGCTCCGGAAACTGTTTTAAGTTTTAAGGTCATAGTGACCTTGACCTTTGACCTTTTGACCCCAAAATCAATAGGGGTCTTCTACCCAATATGGGCAATCATCCTATGAAGTTTGAACATTGTGGGATAAATGGAACTTAAGTTATGCTCCGGAAACCAAATTGCTAACGGACGGACGGACGGCCAGACAGACAGACGGACGCCAGGGGGTATAACATAATATGCCCTTTCGGGCATATAAAAACTCAGAGCATTCAGGGGCTGTTCAAATAAAAAAATAACTAGAAATGTGTCCATAGGACACGGATACCCCCACACCCCACTGTTCTGTCAATCTTATGACTCTAGGTCAAATATTTTTTAGACTACATGTGCCACAAGTTGAAAACTAAAAATCAACAAAGGGCCATAATTCTGTTAAATTTGATCGCAGCAAAAATTCCTTCCTTTACAACCATCTACACATTAAGGTTGTTCATCCCTGGAAGTTTAAGCAAAATCTGCCATCCTGTTTAAGAGGAGTTGCGTTCACAAAATTTCTACATAGTATATAGTGAAAAAATCAACAAAGGGCCATAATTCTGTTAAATTTGGTCGCAGCAAAAATTCCTTCCTTTACTACAATCTACACATTAAGTTTGTTCATCCCTGGAGGTTTAAGCAAAATCTGCCATCCGGTTTAAGAGGAGTTGCGTTCACAAAATTTCTACATAGTATATAGTGAAAAAATCAACAAAGGGTCTTAATTCTGTTAAATTTGGTTGCAGCAAAAATTCCTCCCTTTACTAACATCTACACATTAAGGTTGTTCATCCCTGGAAGTTTAAGCAAAATCTGCCATCCGCTTTAAGAGGAGTTGCGTTCACAAAATTTCTACATAGTATATAGTGAAAAAATCAACAAAGGGCCATAATTCTGTTAAATTTGGTTGCAGCAAAAATTCCTTCCTTTACTATCATCTACACATTAAGGTTATTCATCCCTGGAGGTTTAAGCAAAATCTGCCATCCGGTTTAAGAGGAGTTGCGTTCACAAAATTTCTACATAGTATATAGTGAAAAAATCAACAAAGGGCCATAATTCTGTTAAATTTGGTCGCAGCAAAAATTCCTTCCTTTACTACCATCTACATATTAAGGTTGTTCATCCCTGGAAGTTTAAGCAAAATCTGCCATCCGGTTTAAGAGGAGTTGCGTTCACAAGATTTCGGGACGTACGGACAGACGGACGGACGGACACTCGGATGGACAAGTGCAACGCTATATGCTTCCTCTCTGTGGGGGCATAAAAACTCAGAGCATTCTGGGGCTGTTCAAATAAAAAAGAAAAACTCAGAGCATTTAGGGGCTGTTCAAATAAAAAAGAAAAACTCAGAGCATACAGGGGCTGTTTAAATAAAAAAGCAAAACTCAGATCATACAGGGGCTGTTCAAATAACAAGAGCCATGTCAACATGGCCATCCCCCGCCGAATGTGTTTGCTCATTGGAAGAATGTATATGAAGTAGAGCAGAATAATTCCATTTTAAGAGGTCTTTTGGTAATGAAAACTGATGGCTATAGTGATTACAGATTTGAAACCTATGTGAATACTGATGGCTGAATATAACAAAGGGCAATTACTGAAAAATAATGCAGGGTAGGTTATCATTCTTGTGTGCTGCATCCCTCCTCAGTAAAATCTATCCACGTATGAAGTTTCAAGTTGATACCTCAAATACTTTTTGAGAAAACAATTGAATTGAAAAATTAAGTATGAAAAATAACAAAGGGCAATAACTCAAAAAATATAAAAGGTAGAGTTATCATTCTTGTGCACTGCACACCTCCTGAATTAGATCTATGCACCTATGAAGTTTCATAATGATATCTCAAAGGCCTTTTGAGTTATGCTCTGGACAAAAATTAATTTTGAAAAATAAAAAAAGGGCAATAACTAAACAATTATGCAGGGTAGAGTTATCGTTCTTGTGCACTGCACTCCTCCTTAATGAGATTCATCCACCTATGAAGTTTCAAGTTGATACCTCAAATACTTTTTGAGATAAATTCTGGACAAAATAGTATGACAAAGAACAAAGGGCAATAACTCAAAAATTGTACAGGGAAGCGTTATCATTCTTGTGCACAGCATTCCTCCTCAATAAAATCTATCCACCTATGACATTTCATGTAGACATCTCAAACACTTTTGAGTTATGCTCCACTCGGGTGAAAAATTAGGTATGAAAAATAACAAAGGGCAATAACTCAAAAATTATGAAAGGTAGAGTTATCATTCTTGTGCATTGCACATCTCCTGAGTGAGATCTATGCACCTATAAAGTTTTATTTTGATATCTCAAAGGCTTTTAGAGTTATGCTCTGGACAAAAATTAATTTTGAAAAATAACAAAGGGCAATAACTCATAAATTATGCAGGGTAGAGTTATCATTTTTGTGTGCTGCACTCCTCCTCAATGAGATCCATCCACCTATGAAGTTTCAAGTTGATACCTCAAATAATTTTTTGAGATAAGCTCTGGACAAAATAGCATGAAAAAGAACAAAGGGCAATAACTCAAAAATTGAATAGGTCAGAGTTAACATTCTTGCGCACAACATTCCTCCTCAATAAGATCTATCCACCTATGACATTTCATGTTGATATCTCAAACACTTTTTGAGTTATGCTTCACTCAGGTGAAAAATTAAGTAAAAAAATAACAAAGGGCAATAACTCAAAAAATATGAAAGGTAGAGTTATCATTCTTCTGCACTGCACACCTCCTGAGTGAGATCTAAGAACCTATGAAGTTTCATGTTGATATCTCATAGGCTTTTGGAGTTATGCTCTAGACAAAAATCAATTTTGAAAAATAACAAAGGGCAATAACTCAAAAATTCTGCAGGGTAGAGTTATCGTTCTTGTGTACTGCACTTCTCCTCAATGAGGTCTATCCACCTATTAAGTTTCAAGTTGATAACTCAAACACTTTTAGAGATATGCTCCGGACAAAAATGTCGGACAGAAGGACGGACGGAAGGTCGGACGGAGACTATTTCTATATCCCATGCCGCCTTTTCGGCGGGGGATAAAAAGGAAAACTCAAAGCATTAAG